ACTCCACTCCCTATGTGGGTGTGAGGGCACATCTTTGGTCTGCACTGGGTCTGAGCTCTTCCATCACAGTCCTTGCAGTACCCCCCCAGATTTTCCACCTGTGGCTCCAGTGGACTAGGCTTATGAAACTACTTTATTGGAATTTTTACCTAGCCTTTTCCATGTACAGGGATGTCTCACATTACCAGAACATAAGCACAATTTGAAAGCCTACAGTATCTTTCTGGAACTTGCTGTCCTCTTCAGTGGATCAGTTTTTGTATGAATACCATAAACCGATCTCTGCAGCAGAGGTCAAATTTCTGATTTTGCCTGTTCTGTTCTCCAGCTTATAAATAGGTCACCTCCTAAGCACCCCTTTACATCTTTCCACCCCTTTATATCTCTTGAAGCTGCTCCCTGGCTCATTCCGCACAAAAAGTGAAGAGGAGGTTCTGTGTGTTTTGTGTGAAGTAAATATCTTAAAATACGGTGCATCTGCCAAAATGTTTAGAGACAGTAAACAGTTAAATTCTTTGAAAGACATACCAGCTGTGATAATTATACAATGAAGCAGAAACATATTTTGTTGCACCTGGAAACCAAGAATTAGACAGTGGAAAAGCAAGAACTAACATTTCTCTGGCAACCAAAGATATGCTAACTATATACTATGTATTTTGTGTTTTCTATTTAATAAAGTCATGAAGTTAACTATTTTGGGCACTTGTTTACTTTGTAGGTCTTAACTGACCCTGGTAAGCAGCTTACTGCATCATGAATTGTCTGCTTAAACTCCTTAACTTCTAACAACTGTATTTTGAAACTAATTTTAAAATTAGGATTTATTTTAGGTGGGCTTTGGATTAATGGCCATTTTATTGTAAACATCTGCTTTGCAGAGCTGAGATACAATTGTTTAATGCAAAGCAAACTAGGTAAAAAAAGAGAATGGTTATGTACTGCATATACCTTAAGTGAAAACATTAAGGAGCACTTACTTTAGCATACAATTTATATACATTGCATACAGTAGCTTGCCTTTTACCACATAAAGGAGTACATATTTAAAATAAAATTATGATTTTTCATCAGTAAACAATATTAAGCAGCATTAAAATAGCAGATTGATTAATGTTTTCTTTGTAAACCACACTACAATGGACTTCAGGCTTCCCTTTTCTTATTTTTGGAAAAATCAGAGCAATAAGATCATTATTACAGGAACATCTGAGATTCCTACCAAAACCTGTGAAGTGAAATAAGTTTTGAAAGGTTGAATCCAAGCTAACTGCATTCTGAAATATAAAAGAAAATTATGCATTTCAAAATTATTGATTCCACAGATTGTTAAATTTCATGAGCTTTAGTTTTCTTTTAATATATTAAGAAATCCTCCCAGTTTACAAAACATAAATATAGCTATAATATAATGAGTGAAATAATAATGGTATCTATAAAAGTTATGGCAAAACACTAACCTGAATCAGAAACTGTATATATTTTTCTTAAAGAAGTCACTATAGAGTAATTTGTTGTGTCAGGGTCTAGTTATATTATATTACCTTCATCACAAGCTGAAATCTGCTTCTTCATACTCCAATATTTGGCATGTGACACCAACAAGACAGCACCAAAAAAGCATGTTTCTTTTACATTCATAAAACATTGTTATTACCTACAGGTATGTATACGTTATTAACAGCTTCAAGGCTTATTATAATGAAAATGAAACACTTTTGTAAGAAATTCATTTGTGAAAATTTAATTTTAATGTCCTAGCTAAATATTGTGAAGGCATCATTAATTGTTATAAACAGTGATCAATTTGTTTCTTGTTTATTGTACTGTTAATCAACTCATTACTGTTTATCGGCTATGTCAAAACTCCTGACTTGTTAACATTAAAGAATTTAAGAAGGGGTTAGATTGGGGCTCTGCATTAGTGTACAAGCTGCAAAGAAAAAGGTAGAGGTTAGGTTCATGCTGAGTAAAAGTAAAAATGAATGAAGAAAAAACTAAATTCAATCTGGGGGGGTTTCTTAGAATGTGTTGAGGCGAGAGAGGGGAAAATTAATATTAATTATTAAAATAAAAATAATATACACCTTTTTGGACTGCAGGGCAGTGAAATAACAATGTTTTTTTCTATAGCACATCACTGTTATGTAATCCTACCCATCTGAGTCAGCTTCATTAAAGTTTAAACAGCTTAACACTTCATTATCAAGAAAGAGTGAAAATGAATTCCCTTAAAAAGTCCAGGTCTTGGTTAAAAAAGTATTTCTCCAGAGTCTTCTGTCCTGAGAAAGGAGAATAAACTTTGAGAATTAATGTCAATGTACTAGCAATAATATCTTTCAAATTCCTATAGTGGGTAGGAATTCTGAATCGATCAGGAAGTCACATACCTACAGATGTACAGTAACATTGTGGCCACATTACAAAAAATG